AACTATCTACCTTTTAGACTCGCTTCGGGAAGCATGGTGCTCACCTCATTAATTGACAGAATTTTTGGAGACATCAAATTTAATTACATATATAATTTTTTCGATGATCTATGTGTGTACAGTGACTCTACCTTTGAGGATCACCTGCAAAAGGTTGGGTTAGTTATTCAAAGACTTTGTGACGCCGGACTCACTGTCAATCCCCAAAAAATTACAGTTGCAGCCAATAAAATTCAGTTTCTCGGACACGTATTCAGTAACCACACCATTTCCATACACCCTGATAGAACAAAGCCAATTGACGAGTACCCCACCCCCAAAAATGTCAAGCAATTATCCCGTTTTTTGGGCATGACGGCGTTCTACGCACGTTTCATTAAAAATTACGCGACCATCACCATTCCTCTAAATCATTTGAAGAAGAAGGGAGTTCCCTTTGTTTTCGGCCCCGATCAGGTTCAAGCTTTCGAGACCCTCAAGAGAGCTTTAGTCTCTTCATCGATACTGCGTATGCCAGATTTCACAAGGGATTTTGTTGTTCACACCGACGCTAGCGGCTCAGCCATTGGGGCCGTACTGATGCAAACCCACGGAGACCAGTTGTTTCCAGTCTCGTACGCATCTAGGGCTTTAAACAAGCATGAATTAAATTATTCCACCTTGCAACTCGAATGCCTTGCAATAGTTTTTGCATTGCAAAAATATCAACAGTACCTGGAACACAGAGAGTTTGAGCTTCACTCAGACTGCTCAGCCCTCACCTGGCTTCTCAACCACCCGCGACAGATGGGTAAGATTGCCCGTTGGGTCTCTTTCATAAATTCATTCAAGTTCAAGATCTACCATATCCGCGGAAGGGACAATGTCATCGCCGATGCCCTTTCTCGCCTATATGAAAACTCCGAACCAACTGAAATTTCACCCCCCACTCCTCAACCATCCACATTATCCCTTTTCGCTCTCCCCGAGGTTTTCAAAGACATAGCCGACCATCAACTCGATGATCCTGACCTCAGGAAGATCATCAGGTCCACCAACAAACCCCAAAATTATTCAGTCGAGAACAATATCCTTCTTCACCGTCAACCAAATCAAACCAAACCAAGGGTAGTGGTTCCATCCAAGCTTCTTGACCTCATTTTCAAATACTACCATGAATCTCCCACATCAGCTCATTTGGGCATAAACAAAACCTTGTCTCGCATCGAGCCCTTTTTCTGGTCTCCTGACCTCAAGGCTTACGTCACTAACAGGGTAAGAGCTTGCGTTAGCTGTCAGAGGTGCAAACAAGCCCCCAACACCAAGGTCGGAAGACTCGCTTCTGAAATCGTTACCAAACCTTGGGAAAAAATTTTCATTGACCACATTGGACCCCTTCCATTGTCCGCCAACCGCAATAGATACATTCTCACCATTGTAGACTCTTTTTCAAAATTTTGCTTCATGATCCCAGTTAGGAACACCAGGGCGGAAACAACTGTCACGGTGCTCAACAGACAAGTTTTTGCAATATTTGGCCCACCCAAATTTTTGGTTTCTGATAATGTTTCACATTTCAAGTCTGTTACCGTCAAGAACCTCTGTATGGGTCTGGGAATCCAACACATATACACCAGCCCATACTATCCCAACCCCTCGCACGCCGAGAGGGTAAACAAACAGATCAAAATTGCCATCCGAATCTTCCACCATCAACATCAAAGGCTATGGGACCAGGAACTCCACTGGTTCCAAATAGCTTTCAATTCAGCCATTCATGAATCCACCAAGACTTCCCCTGCCCGTTTATTCCTAGGTAGACACCTACATCATCCCTTAGAACTTCATTGGAACCTAGACAAATTAGTCGACGAGCAATGCACCCCACAATCCTCCCACGACGAGTGGAGTAGGGCCGTCGAAAACCTATCAAAAGCTAGACAGCAGAGACAACAGAAATACGACTTAAACAGACTGCCCAACCCTTATAAATCTGGGGATTGGGTAATGTTTAAGGAACACCACATCAGTAGGGCCGCCAATGCAATCAATAGTAAGCTTTTACCAGTCTGGTCCAAACCTTGTGTAATAGAGTCCTTTTCATCACCAGTGACAGCACGATTACTAAATCCCACAACAGGTAAATTTATCAGAAACGCACATGTCTCACAACTAAAAAGGTTTTTCCAGCCAAGTTTTTAGAAGTTTTCCAATTACCCAGACCAGGAATGCAGCACCATTGTGATATTAGGCTAAGTCTTCTACCCTCTGTCTCTTAAACCGCCAGCGCATGGGGGACTAGTGAGTCTCAGGGTATCCTTCCCTCGGATGGGCTGCCCTACACGTCCCTTCCCCGGGCGTTGTCGGCCAATTCCCCCCTCCCCTTTTTCGTCTCCTTCACCCCTGCTGAGTTGTTTTAACCTTTTTTTATGTAAGAATCACTTCCCTGCGGGTGTGTACATTTTATGTTTTGTTTTTTTATTTTTACCCCGCATGAAAGGGCTCAGTAGTGGCACCTTCTGTGGCGACCTTGATATCAGTCGAGTGAAGGAAGACAATCTCTTGCTCTTTTTATTTCATACCCTCCTCCACCTTTTCTTTTCCCTTTAGCTTAATTAGTCACTAGTGGTAGCAGTAGTTAGGTCTTAGGGAAACTAGTATAGTTAAGCAGCAAAAGAAATTAAATTTGGTTTTCTTCAATACAAAAATCAAGAAATCGTTATCTACCAAACGGAAGTCGCAGCACGGTTCTCAATAGATTCCGCGGTTTTCCATCGTGGCAAGCGACGGCAATCTTTTTTTCTCGTTCTAAAATTGCATGCGTTGATAAGAAGAAAAAAAAAAAAAAAAAAAAAAAATGTTTTGTATCCTTCTCACCTTCCAAACCTAAACACACTTACAAAACCACAAAAGCTCTCGCGACCCTCACCAGTCTGACCTTGGTTCACCACGCCACTGTGAGTCTTAAACTCTCGGTTTCCCAAACAGATTCAGACCAACCCTGTCAGTGATCGGACCACCGCCTTGCCCACTGACCCTTCACACCTTCACTTGAACGACAGTCTCCCTTTCAACCTTTTCTCTTTACACCAATCAAAGCACAATACTACGGTAATATGCCCCAATTCAGTAAAAGCTGAGTCTTAACATCTGCACAATCAAAGAAAAAAAAAAAAAGAAAAAAAAAAAGAAAAAAAACATAAGAATAAGACAACAAATAATAAGAAGAAAGCTTATAATGAAAATAAAAACTTATATGCATCATCAAAGCACTTCAGCACGAACTTCATCATCATGATAGTGGGCTACAACACTACCCAAGAAACAAACGAGTCGTCTGTGGCTACTCAACTCCCTAGCGGTCGGAACCTGAATTAACACCATGGTCTACAATTGGTCTCTGACAGCACAACTCACTATTGGTCAACTCCTGTGCGGACCCCTGAGATCAGCGAGTTGGAAAAACGTCTTGGTCTCTGCAACTGTGGCTCTGCCAAATCTCAACACACTTCATCAGTACCTAAGCCAAGTGTCATCTCTCCATACTTCATCAGACAATCTGCACATCATCCTCGGCTCATCGCCAAGACTGCTAGGGCCACTTCTCACTCTTCCCGCCAGACACACCGAACTCGCCCGTGTTGCTCCACTAACCTTGATCCACAAAGCATTATAAAAAAAAAATAATAAAAAAAAAAAAAAAAAAAAAAAAAAAACTCTTTGTGCGTGCAGATGTCCCCTTTTTTTCCAACAAAAGAAGAAACCGTCAAGTTTACAGGATAGTATGACTGTCTTTCACCCAATGCCTACCTTTTTCGCAGGGGGGGTGGACTCCCATCCCTGTCGGGTTGGTCAACCAAAATTAGCTTCACACCCCAATGTTTTGCGATGGATGAACCAAGCCGAGCCAGTCTGGTTGGGCGGTTTTAAGCTTCCCTCATTGTTTCTCGGCTTCCTTGGAATCCAAACCGTGTCAAGATATCTAAGGACCCAGAAACGAAGATGAAGGGAGGCGTTTCGACCAAAAAACTCACCTTTCACACAACTTGTCACACCTCCCACTCCATTCACCTACCTCAAAAAAAAAAAAAAAAAATCTTTTGCGCGAGGGGGGGTGGTTGTGACGCAAGCGCCACAGCTTCATGGCGTAAGGCGCTAGCATGCCGTTCAACCGCTCTTTTCTTGGACCAATTTTTTCTAAGCTCAGCCGGCTCGTCTCTTCTCTCGCCCCTGTCTGCCCGCTGCCGTGATTTGACGAACTTCGAGTCTTCAAACTTCGTACAGAATGAACAATAATCAAGCTAAGTTAACTTATTAGTTTTAAGTAAAATATTAAAATATGTTAGGCTAGAAGTAAATCTCAGGGGGGGAAGCCACTGGCTTCGCAGGTACGCTGGAAAATGTAGTAAATAACTATCAAGTTTGATTCCGCCTAACGGAATCAAACAATCCTTTTCATGTTTCGAAGCCACATGTTCCAAGAGATTAAATTGCCGGTTAGAGGGGTTGCTTAGTTCATCTACCAGTTACAATTCAACCAATTCTTGCTTCAATCAGGTTTTTCTTATATATATTTATATATTAGTTTGGAAGGTGTCAACCAAAATTAGGGTATTTAAGTGTGTTAGTTAAATAAGTGTAATCAAAGCTGGCTTGGGCTGTCTTCCTGGTCTGGGTAAAAGGTCCAATTCTCTGGGCCCCCATCACACTTTTCCAGTAATCCAAGGTAATACTGACAACCAGAATAGTTTAAAACCATATCACAAGACTATCACCACCTCATAATGTAAAACAAAGGAAAAAGGTGCAGAGGAAATGTAAACATTGTGGATTTAATTTTTGCTTCCAAGAAAATAAATTAATATTAATTATTTTCCCGAAGCCCAACCTCAGAACTTAGCACGAGGGGCTTCGATTTTGAAAAAAAAGACAGTAAGATAAAGATCTAGTGAGACATTATTGCTGTAGAATTAATCTCTTGTATGCATGTACAGTTTGTTCAAAGATGTGTGTGATTGCAGTGGACCCAGCTGTGATGAGGCCTGGTAGACTGGACAAAGTGTTGTATGTTGGACTACCAGGTGCTGAGGACAGAGTTGACATTCTGAGAGCTCTAACCAAGGTTTGTGATGTGTCTTTGTACTGTTTTCATTGTTTTTTCAACAATTTCTTAAAATTATATTTATAATCCTACTCATGGGTAAGGTTCATATTTGTATGCTGCTTGCTAGTTTTCACATTTTTTAAGACACCGTTCAAGGACTACCTTTGTGCAAATGGTGGGTTAACCATACTTTGCTTCGTAAATAAGTCCTAGACCAGTGTTATGTCCAACAAAAATCTATTTTTTCAATCCCATATAAACTACCTGGACAGACCTCGTCAAATACATCATACTCCTCATTCCCTCACTAATGCGGCTAGCAAAGACAATGTGTTATAAGTAGGGATGGATAAGATTGTATTTTTAGTTCAAGGCGGTATTTTTATTTCCTTTTCAATTTTGGTACAGGACGGGAGTGAAAAGGTTTTTTTTTTTAATTTTGAGTTATATTCTTGCAATAATGATAAACAAAATCTTTTGTCCACATGTCCCACATTCGTGGCCATCTTCGATGTGTCTCCCGATTATGGAGCCATTGTGAACAACTCCTGTGATTGCAGTGCAATTTTAAACATTTCTCGCTATCATGGAGATATCATTATCGTCACCTGGGCTCGCGGAACATCATGAAAACCCAAAGAGTCATAATAATTTTCACCTGCTATACCGGCAACGCCTCCCGCGATCAACGATACGTCATTATCGTCTCTGGGGATATGGAAAAACACTTGGACAACGATTGGAACAAATCTTGTCCTAAGAAAATCCCAAATCAAATGTAATCCCATCCTGATGATTGAAGCCAGTTGGTCAGTCTCTCTTTCAGCTGGTTTGATGGCAAATTCAAACTGATACTTAAACCAGGAGTCCATTAAACATTTTATATGCTAACACCGGATAACTAACATTTCTTAAGCGACGCCGGTTTAGGTTTTTATGGTTTCTTGTATTGTGATGGTACAATTTATTCATTGTATCAGAAGCAACAATAATTGTTATCATTATCATTAGATAAAGATAATAAAAACTAGCACATAAAAAATGAGGTACCTACAAAAGAAAAGACTAACATTTTGGAAAGTAGGGTCAACCAGCTAAACTGTCTAATTAATTTTTATCTACAGCTTTTATTTGTGTATTTGAGACATATAGTTTATAAAATGTTAGGCCTACTAAACAATAAGTTGAAACCATAAAACAAAATAAGCCTACTAGGTTGAGTATATATTTGATTATATACTATGTCTAGTAGGCTTACTTATTTTGTTTTTAATAGTACTACAGATGGATAACAAGTTTTGGTCACTATGTCAATATTATGCTTTATTACTGCTTAAGACAAATTATTGTTTCTTCAATCAGAACAGAACCATCATTGAAGAAGTGCTCTTCTTGGAGCATGCCAATGATTTTTCTCAAGCAAAGTGCAGCCCCCACTTAAGTTGTTTGCCTGTCAATGTGCAGGGAGGTAAGCAGCCAGTGTTAGCGGAGGACGTGAGCCTAGCAGACGTAGCGAGGGACTGCCAATGTGAGGGCTACACAGGAGCGGACCTGGCGGCGCTGGTCAGAGAGGCTAGTCTACAGGCACTCAAGGAGTACATGGCCTCCACTGAGCCTAGCAAGAACGACCTGCGGGTGTGTAAGCGACACTTCACCACCGCACTCAGTAAGATACGCCCCTCTGTGTCTGAGAAAGTAAGTAACGATAACATTTTATTTAGGTAAAGTAAGTAACAGAAGTTTAATCAACTGATTATGCATGTCAAACAGTCATATTATAGGCTCAGTAACTTGGCTCTGTAAGGCTTTCCAGATTAATTAGGGTAGCCTACTCTATGGAATTTGAAATAATATTTTATATTCTAGCAAAAATATTTATTAACATTTTCTATTTAACTAAAATCTGTTCATGTCATTCAATGCAGCAGAAATTTATCTAAACTGTAATGCTAGAGTTTGCAGACGATGTGTGCTTGATATCCGCAACGAGACAGCAGCTGCAGCAAAAGACAGAAAAACTAAATGAAGAGGCGTCAAAAATTGGTCTAAAGATTAACAAAAGGAAGACCAAGTACATGAGGGTCAATGACGAGACTCAAGGGGTAATTAGACTTGAAAATGAAGAAGTAGAGGAAGTTGAAGATTTTCTGTATTTAGGTTCAGTTGTAGATAGAAATGGGGGAACTGAAACCGATGTAGGCAGGAGAATAAATAGAGCCCTTGGAGCTTTCAGCATCCTCAATAAGATCTGGAGGTCAAACAGTTTTTCAATAAAGAGCAAGTTAAGGATCTTCAACTCAAATGTGAAGAGTGTGTTGCTGTATGGCTGCGAAACCTGGAAACTGAGTAAGGGGATAGTAAGCAAGCTGCAAACCTGTATAAACAAGTGCCTGAGAAGAATATTGAAGATAAGGTGGCCCGAAACCATAACAAACGAAGAACTATGGCGACGAACAAACCAAGAGCCAATCGATGTAGAAATAAGGAGAAGAAGATGGAGATGGGTAGGGCACACACTACGGAAAGGACATGATGATGTGGCGAAAGAGGCACTAGAATGGAACCCCGCCGGGAGCAGGAGAGTGGGTAGACCAAGGAAAACATGGAAAAGGACGTTGTTGGAAGAATTGAAGGAGAGAGGAAAGACCTGGGAGGGGATTAAGAGAGAAGCAGCCAACAGAGTGAGGTGGAGGGGAACAGTTGAGGCCCTATGCTCCAGGAGGAGTCAACGGGATTAAGTAAGTAAGTAAGTAAGTAATGCTAGTGATGGTCTGAACACCAGAAATGACCAGACTCAAGGCCAAATAAAAAAAGTCTTAACAATGATTTTTACTCACTTAGCTACGGTTATGAAAAATTACATAGTCCCCCGTTGCAAAATTACTCACACAATTTCTTTTGGAATGGGATTTCTTAAAATAGTTTTTTTTTTCTGAAATGTTTTTCTTTTTGCAAAACATTTCAATGTTTTTTTAAATTCAGCTCACGATCCAAGAATGAAAATGGTGGTTTATCTGTAGAATTCTTGATTCATACAACAATTAACAAAATTATCTATACCATTACGCTTTTAAAAACAAACAATTTTGTTTTTAAAGTAAGTCAATAACGTTTACAAACATATTGTTATTGTTGGATATCAGGGAAGTTTAGGAACTTTTTATTTCTTTCTTTCTTGTTTTGGTTTTTTTCTAGAGCCGTTTTAACTTAAATTTATATCTGAAACATATATGTTACAATTTAATTGAGTGTGCATCATATCAGGATTAGTAAATAATATTCTTGGCTTTTGATGAGAAAATATAGATTCCTTTTACACATATAAAGTATAAGTTAAAGTTGTATACATTAATTTGTCATCTTTATAATTTTGTTTATATAGGTTAATTTTTGTTTTAATGTACTAGGCCTTCAGGCTTTCTAAATCTTTTTGTGTTTTAAGCCACTAAGAAATATTTTTGAATTTATCTCAGGCAAAAAAAAAAATTACTGTTATTATTAAACAATAAAAACAAACATGACAAGAGTATTTTTAGATCAGGAAAATTTCTGAAATTCCAAAGTCTGTGAAGAGTAAATGTTTGTGTGTGATTAGATAGGAAGTGCAGTGAGCAGTTGTAGGCTATTGTTGTGTTGTGTGTGAGAGAGAAAGAGAGAGAGAGAGAAGTGCATGTGACTTGTCAGCTGACTCTAGTGTCAGTGTCAGTAGCAATGGAGCCTCTCACTACAGCAGACTACATCTCTTTGGTGCTCAGTAGATTGGGAACTGATGATTTTGATCTTTTGGAAACTAAACTTGAAGAACCTCTCCCAGCCTCAGGATTTCCAATATTCGCTGACTACAACATACTTGTTATATTTGTAAAATTGAAAACCACAGGAGAAGTGTCAAAGTTGAAATTCGTTGTGAAAACTCCACCGAAAAACAAAATTAGTGCTGATTTTGTGAGCTGTGTAAAAGCCTTCTACAAAGAACCGCTTATTTACAACAGTGTTTTGAAGGATATAAGTGCACTTTCTGGTAAGCTAGGACCTGACTGTTTCTTGTCGCACCCCGAGAAAGCCATTGTTCTCGACAATGTTTTCGATTTAGGTTTCAGGAAAAAAGGTATTAAGAAAGAGTTGAATGTTCAACATTGTGAGCTGGTTTTGGAAGCACTCGCTAAACTACATGCTGGCTCGTTAATCTTGGAAGAGACAAAAGGGAAGAAAATTCCAGAACTGTATGGTGATGTTTGCTTTGAAACGATATATTCCGATGAAACCGAACATCGTGGATTTGATTTCATGTGTACAGGAATTAACACATTGGAGAATCTGTTTACAACTCACTTTACTCATTTTCCTGGAGTAGTTGTCAAAAACACTTTGAGCATGATTAGAAATCTCCCCTTCAAATTGAAACCGTCAGAGGACTTCAGGAATGTTTTCAGTCACGGCGGAGTGTGCACGGAAAATGCACTTTTCGACTATGGTATCGACGGTCAGCCTGCAGATGTTTTATTAATTGACTTCATTAACGCTCGGTATGCTCCACCCGCACTTGACGTTTTGATTTTTCTGCATCTCACGACATCGCGAGCTTTCCGAGAAGTTAACCAGGGAGCTCTGATGACTCACTACTATCTGAAGCTAGCCAAGGAAGTACAAGCCGGAGGATTAGATCTGTCTGAGATATTACCGTGGGCGGAGTTTGAGGTGAGCTTGCAACATTATCTAGGAACAGCTGTGGTCGCTGCATTGTTATACATACACATCACACAACTGCCAGACGACACGCTACAGGCTGTCTCTAAGGACGACAACCTCCTCTCGGAGTTCTTCTACGAGGACAGGAGTGAGCGAGTGTTGAGTGCCTACAGCTATGACGAGGCATACCGCAGGCGGCTCAACCAAGCCCTAGTGCAGGCGCTTGAGTACACTCAGTTCCATGGCAGGCGGCGCAGCAGTATGCATCTTAGCTTGTAGACTCTTCCTGATCCTTGGTAGGTGTAAGTGGTAGGGGCCTTATGAGAATTTGAGTTTAACTGCAAATTCGTTGACGTTATTAATAGGTGATAAATTAAAAAAAAAAAAATACTGTAGACATTTTTCTTTAGTTAGTTAAATAAATCAAACTTTCGTACATTTTACTACATCTAACTTTTAAAGTTTTATTTTACTGACCACGACAGAAAATATTTTTAAAAGATATTTCAAATTACACCTACACATCGGTGTAAGATGTGTCAAAATTCTTATGGTGGTTTGAGATGCATAGTCTATCACAAATTAACAGAACTAGTAATCACAATTTCTACTGAACGAACAATTTTGTTCAAGATTGCAAAATCATAAAAAGTTCTTTTTGATTTGTTGTACAACTTTACATAGCTTCTCCTTAAAGATTTTCTTTAGACTCTTTTATGATGTTTGATCTTTGTATTAAGTTGTTGTTGTAACGTAGTGTCTGAAATATAATGCTATTCATTCATGAATTGTAACTTGACTCTTTTCCAGGACAAGAAGAGGTATGAAGACTTGAGGTTACAATATGCTGCAGTTCCAGTCATCAAGTAATTTATTTAGGTAAGAATGATTTCCTAAATTTGATACACTTTGATAATATCACATTTATAAATTCTAAATGTAGCAATCAAGTGAGTGGAATAGTATAATTTTATTACTTTAGTCCGTTAACAAAATTTAAATGGTTTAAGGGGAAGGTTCACCACTTTTTTGGCTTTATGTATCATCAGCTAACCAGCTGATAGCTGTTGTTTCAAGGTTAAGGGGAGGGGCTGGAATCACTTCCGCTTAAACCGCCTAAATAATGTGAACGGAAAATAGTACCAAAATTGTTTCATGAACACATGTCAATTTTTCTTCTGATGTGCTTTGGTTTAATGGTATAGTGCTCATAATAAATAAATAGTTAGGGACATTATTTTGATTATTGATGGGTACGATTATACTTTTAGTTTGGACTGGGACAGAAAGGAATTTTCTTAAATCTGTAGAAGAGTTAGATTTTTGTGTAAATAGATAACAAGTTAGAAATAGGCACATATAAATCAATATAAATCTTAAAGGGTCCAAACCCAAAGGTTATGAGTTATTTCGTGGTACTATAAACCTGATTCAATATGGGCGTTAAGCTGTGGAAAATAAATTTGATAAAAAATCTGTGTTTAACAAATACAAATTATTCATTGATTTTGAAACTTCCGAATGTTAAAAAATTGTCTCATAAACCATTTACTCTGTTATTGCATTCAGCTTCCTTCAATAAAAAAATAAAAAAACTCAAAAGCAATGAAGGCAAGATGTTGCATAAAATATAAAACAAAAGCCAAACAAGTTAACCCTGTAACAACAGTATTCTCCTATAACTTGTTAAATAAAAATGGAAAACATTTTTAGCTGTGGTAATAATAGGTTTAGATGTCTTTGAACTCAAATCAAAACATTGTTTGGCCCTCTTCAGTTTGAGTGGAGAAGTAGTAACTCTCCAGATCGGCCCGTGACAAACAACGGAAACACTTAACACTCTGTTGCAATCTCAGTCTTATCAGATAAGTCTGTTTATGGTGTCATTCTATGACTTGGTCTGCTATCACCGAGGTTTGTCTGTTGATGAGTACGGCATTGCGATGTTTACAACATACTTCACATTCTTAGTTGTTTTATAGCAAAACAACACACGAGCTATGCATTCTGTACTAAATGTAGGATGAGAAAACCTTTATTCATTTACTTATAGTTCCACTTAAAGTTGACTTAAATTGTAAATTGCCAATTTCTTAGGTTTTAAAGGTAGTATGTGATGTCACAAAAAGTTGTGTTGTTAAGTTATAATACATTCACATTCCTTTTAACAACTTAACTCGTATTAGCCCTACAAATTTAAATAAACTTTAAAATAAGCTTGACAACGGAAACTGTCCATCGTAGCGCAAGTCCAACAGAATGTGAAAGAGAGACAACACCTATCTCATACTGTAATAAAAACCAAGTTTAGAATAAACAACCGTTGATTATTGAGAAATATAATTTATGTATAAATTGCAGTTTTAAGTATTTGCAATTTCATCTTAAATTAAAACAATGTTTTAATTTTCAAACTTTTTACAACTAAACCCATTTTACTGTTAAAAATGTATGCTCGAAATGTTTTACGTTTTTACTTTACTACACGGATTATTTTATCAACGATCAAAAGTAAACAAAATGTAACAAACCATATTGTTGTATTGGAGATGTGCATGCAACTTGTAAAATGCCTATTTTCAATTTATGATTCAAATCAATCTCGGCAGGGGGCACAACTACCTCTTGGGCCCATAGCACCATCACATACTAACCGCGGGCCTGGGCTACCATAGTCCACTCAGTCATTGTTCGGAACTCATTGTCTCATCAGCAGTTAGGAAACTGGAATTGTTAAGAGTCTTCTTCACCCCTGCGAAAAACATTGAAAACATGCCTCGGGCGTCCCTCGCTCCTGATGGAATTCGTAAAGATATATTGCTAAAACTTTTTTTCCTTACAGATTAATGTTGGTTCTAGGTCCCTCATATGTCTGCAAAAAAAAAAATATATATATCCAAAAAAATCAATAGTATAAGTACAAAAAAATCTTAAAAGTAACGTAAATTCAGTAACTTTTAAAGTTCAATAAAACAACTTTTTTGTTTAATTTTAAATTTTTCGAGGTATAAGGGTCGTAGTATAACTATTTAACTACATTGTTACAAAGTTTCAACAAAATCTGTTGGAAAACAGCGTCCGAAACGGGGGACGAAATTAATATGTTTTGTCCCAAACGCCGGTCTGCCGAAGGGAGGCTACTGCGCTACTAGCCTTTTACAAAACTTAGCTCAGACGGCAGATGAGTCACCGAAGCGTCGCAACCTGTCGCTGTCCACAGGACTCTGATCAACAACTAACTGCTACACATTACATTTAATGCAACTTGGTACAACAAATGGGCAAACTCTGTAGAGGCAAGGCATTTTTGGCGATTTTGCAGACATATTTTCAAAAATTCATAAGAACTAAACCAACAGAGCAAAACAATTGAACCGTATACTTGAACTGTTCGTAAAGACATAAAGAATTTAAAATTCTTATCTATCTCTCTATGAGTACTAATAAGGTTAACATGGGAAACTCCATGGCGGAGCCCGAGAGTCCGATCAGAATCAAAACAACTTAGTTTTCCTATTTAATGCCTAAAGAATCAGTGTACCAAATTTCAGCCTCCTAGGTAAATGGGAAGTAAGAGAATTAAACAAATAATGTTTTAAGAAAGCAAGCGGGCAGCTGATTTTGCGGCCCTAGGGATATAAAAACCTGCTCAGTCCCCAAATGACGATGACAGCTGGCATGTTCAGCAAAACGCAATTTTCAGCCACCAATTAACTTATGTAAAACAGCTAAAAACATCATAGTGTGGTGAAAAAAATTGTTGCTCCTCTATAACAATTAATAAGACAGTCGAAACGGCAAACGCTAGAAAAAATTTAAAAGCTAGTTTTGAAGGTCATTGTACTAATGGAAATATCCATAATGCCAAGGCATAATGTTACTCATATTATTAATATTAACAAACATTTAATTAGTTGCGCTCGCCACAAGGGCTCCTCACAGCCAGTGATGTAAGATCGATATGTTCTGTGCTCGTACTCAGGGCTAGAGATATACATATACATATATACATACATGTATATCTCTAGCCCTGGCTCGTACTGCTCATGTCCAAGGCACAGACAAGGGAACATTTATTTCCTTAGTCAATGTCCAAGGGTAGATAAGTTTGCCGCTGCGCGTGCGTAGGTGCGGAGTCGTGTCTTTAGTAGTAGTTTGTTTACACGATGTTTTCAGAAAGGCGCGCATAATGACCCCGCGCTACCCGCCCGTCAACATCACCTTCCCCCCAAAACGGAACCACACCTAGGGTGATGAAGACTCTTAAGTGAAGAATTGATTGACCAGTGCTGGTCAATCAGAACCACAAGCGTAGTAATTCCTAGCTTGACTTCAAGACTAATAAATTAAGCAACGGCTAATTCCTGACAAAGTACACGGATAAGTTCTCTAGCAGTGTTGATTTATTTGTTTATGATTCAGAAAGGATTCTTATTAGTGTATTTTAAATTGCAATATGTAGATAAAAAACCCATACCTATGTCCGGTATTTTTGGAATATCTAATTCCTAAATTTTGGCTTATGTTTCAGATTAGTGATCCTGTTGCGTAAAACTGCAAGAAGTATAATCTTCATTCCTGTTGTTGCTGATCCTGTCATATGTTTTAACTTATATGTTTAGTCCTAGTGATTTATTTACATTGTGGAATTTTATTTTGAGAGCAAGCATCTGATTAAATTGTTTTACCTCAAGATACATTTTAATAAACCTAATCGTACCATGACTGTGTTTTTCTTCATTTATTTAAAGTGTATTTTAAATACATTGATTTTTTTGTTTTCTCTAAGGAAGAGTCTAAACCCTGGTCTTTAAATGTGGACCTTTTGTTAGAAATCATTGTTTATTGTAATCCCATTGAAAAATGGAATCTGCGTTCAGACTCACTCCTACTTGTGATTGAAACCAGCGACATTTAGATTTAAAGGAAAATGCTTTAGCTAGGGAAGGTCCTACGCATGTTAAATTCTAGATTTTGGTGCAAACTTTTCTCAGAAAGTACTATAGCTAAAGTAATGCAATGTCTACCACATGTTTTATACTTGTTACCCAACACTTTAACAAAGGTATTTAATTATTTATTTATTTTTAACAAAGTTGTGAATTTTTTATAGATATATTATTTTTTCTATGTTTTTTGTCATAATTTTTTTTTATTTCATAAAAAACTGTTAAACATAAACAAGCAAACTACAACAGTTTACTTATTCTTCATAAGAATAACATGGGAATTTTAAATTTACAATTTTTTGCACTTTATCCAAAACCAATAACCGTACAAAACACTTCAATATACTAAATAAATTAATTATTTGTTTTTTAAGCTCTTCAAAGTGGTCTATAGAGAAATTGGGAAATTTTATGTTTTAAGGGTGAAAAACGAGAAAAACCGAATTTTACCCCATAAATCCCCCCATAAACCGTATTCCCTGAATGGGAAATTCGCTAAAAAAAATCATCATAATATTTTGTAGCTAATATTGTTATAAACTAAACGCAGTTGTTATTTTACCTCCATCTGCCTTTGTTTAGCAATAGCATCAATTGCTTCGTATTGATGCTTCATGAATGACATGTTTTACCATAATTCTTCAATTTTAGTCAAGGCTCTTCACTTGTAGCTTACTATATAAATTAAAAAATGAAACTTTGAGCAATGCTTTACAAAACGTCTACAACCTCACTTTAAAACCAAACATAACCCTCCTCAATTTACATAAAGTGTTACAAACATCATTTTCGAGTAAATAAACAAACACCAGTTCATTGTAATGACCAGCTGTTTCATTTACTAAATTAAATCAAATTATTTAAACATTGTGATGTGAGAAAGAAAGAAGAACTAGACTATTCTATTACAGCGGGTGTCAGACTCCAATCAGATACGAGAATCGCGTCACGTGACTTGTATCTGGCTCAGTATTGGTGGAGGTTTCATGAACTGGTTGTCGGGATAGAGACGAACCACGAACCTAGAAGGACGATTTCCCTCTTCTTCGTCTGGCATCGCTCGCCATCCACCTTGCCGTTAACAGTCTACAGCCGAGTTGATCCTCGATTTCTTAATTTGTTTAGTACAATAGTAAAAGCAATGTTCATAAGTAGTTATCATAGATTTAAATTGATTAGTGGTGAGCGATGGAAATTGATTTTCTTCCAGTCTACAGGACTACAACTAACGACAGCTAGATCGGCCATCTTCATCTTCACTTGTTCGAGAATCAGCCATCTACCAACGGCAACCATGCTATGTCACAAAGTTCCTAGCTTTAACAAAATAAGATAAGTGGTCACTGTTCAGGTTAATTAGACATTAAGATTCTACTTATGTAAATTTCAGGTACCTATCAAAAATTGTTCAGCAAGATAAAAAGAAGACCTTAACATTAAATTTGTAAATATTTTTCAGTTGCCTCTTTTGTTAAATAAAACAAGCTTCTTTTGTTTGAATAAATTTTAGTTATGGGCTATTTAGGACAGAGTAGGCCTAAAGATAGACTGTATAGCTACTTAGCCTCATTAGAATGACAAATATAAGACCATCTGTTCTAAATAGTAGGAAGGAATAGGATAAAAATCAGCTTTATATGTCACAGTGCCGCAATTCCTTCCGTGGTGTGTGTTAAGGCACGACAAAATGAAATCAAATAATTTATCTTTACTAAAGCAACAAGATATTAAAACACACATTACAAGATACTGTAAGTGGGCATCTAATTTATGAGAACCAGATGAATCATTAATTTTGGATACTGCAAGTAGATTTCTTATTTATGTGAAGCAGATGTACCATAGGCTTTAGATACTGCAAATAGAGATCTCATTTACGAGAAACAAATTAAGCATTGACTTTGGAATCTTTAGATACTGCAAATAGACATCCCATTTATGTGAAGCAGATGTACCAATGACTTTGATACTGTAAGGAGACGTCTTATTTACGTAAACTAAATTTAGCATTGAGTATACAAAACTGCAAGAGTGTACAATACCATTTACATTAACCAAATGAAGCATTGACTTTGGAAAAGTATTGGATAAATATACTAGCTCCGCCCAATATTGCAAGCAGACAACTGCATTGTATACCTAGTTTTTTTTTTTTTTTTTAATTAGTTCCGTTTTGAAATAACTCTTGTAATACTTAGCAATTGCTCGATTTCAAGCAACGGGTACACTAGTTGTATAGGGTAATGAAATTTCAATATTCTTTATTGCATTACTCCGTTTTTACAACAACATATGTACAGAATCAATTTTTTCATATATTGACTTGTTCTAACAGTATTTATATTTAACAAGATGAAAGTTTTTATATACTTACAAATGTGCATTAGGTTCAGTATCAAAATTGTTGACCAATAGTTTAATCAATGACTACTATGTCTTTACAGTTTTTTAAAAGTTTGTTTGTTTCCTCAACAGCTTCTTCTATATCTCTATCATCATCAGTGATATTTATTTCTAATGTTTCTAGTTCGCTTTGCTCATGGGAAGGATTTACACTACAACCAGATACTATTTTGTTTAATGTCTCAGAAACTTCTGAAATAGTGATTTCTTTTTGAATATTTTCAACATTCTTGGTTGTAGTTATTAAACTTGAATTGTGCTCAACCGGCTCTGTAGCATTCTTGTTAGAATCTAACTCATTGCTTAAGATATGATTATTTGATGCCAGTTCATTTATAGCTTCTTTGGTGTGTAATGATTGAGATTCACAATATTCTGAACTACTTCTATTGTGACAAAGATTGTTGGATCCATCTGCATTTGTTTGATCATTTACATATATTGAATCCAACATAGTATTTTGTGAAAATTTTAAAATGTGTTCAATAGATTCACAACCAACTTTATCCTTTTCTTCATTGCTTGGTGAAGAATCGTTAATAACTATTAAATCAGCAAGACTTTCATCTTTTTGATACCCATTAATATTCTTGTTCACACATTCAATACGACTTTGGTTTTCGTCAGCTGTAAGAGGTACATCAATTTCTTTCTTTTGGCAATCAGTCTTGGTTACTTCAATGACACAAGCTTCTTTATTTGTAATAAGATTGTTTACTTCATCTATACAAACTCCTGATGCAGGTTCTTGAATATCATTTGAATGATTTTCAACTCTGGTAGAGGTCACATCTTCAACTTGGTCTGCTGTGAACGTTGGGTTTAATTCAGCCAAAGAAGATGTAGGTCCTTGGTTTTCTGATAGTACGCTTGTTTGAGTAACGTCATCAATTGCACTATCAATGTCACTTGATATTTCTTTTGGTTTTGAGAGCAACTCATACTCAACCACACTCCCTTCAATTTCTCTTTGAGGAACCGGTGACGGTATTTCTGGTTTGTCTTCAACTAGTTTTTGTTTCTGGGCCAGTTTTGCACGTTTTATTTTTTTCCTGATGTTACCACAAATTTTGCTGGTTGAGACAACTTTTTTTACTTCTTTGCTTTCCAACCACCTTTGGGCCCAACTATTTTTGTCATCTATGTCAGGAGTTTTTTCGGTCTCGTTTATTGTTTGTTTTACAACAGAGGATGAAACTCCTCTTTCAGAACTAATTTCACTTTCAGCCTTTGAAAGTAGTTCATCAACTGGGATACATTCTGACACTGAACTTTTAACAACTTCTTTGTTTGTTTCTGACAAATTGTTGACTGAGACCTCTGGCGATTGATCTTTTGAGACAATATTTTGTGAGCTAGAAGGTTCTCCATTATCTACAATTTTTTTGAAGCCTGAATGTTCATTTTCATCAGTTAGATCAATTGTAACTACCTTGGGAGTTATAACGATAACATCATCATTTTTCCGTTTCTTTTTCCTAAAGTTTTTGGCTGGAGTTACTTTTTCATTTGTATCTTCGTCCAAATATTTTTTCGACTGCTCTTTTGACCCTCCTGGATTCTGTTTATTTTCTTCCAAAGCTGTTGAAGGTCCTTCATTTTCTGGAGGTTCATTGTTCTTCAGTAAAGCACGAATTGCCCTAGCTCTCATTTCTAGTTCTAAAATTTCCAATAAAGTTTTTCCTTCTTTGGGAGCCTCAGTTTCTTCTTCCTTTTCTGAAGCACTTTCTGCAGAACTATCGATACGGAAAACTTCTGTATCAGATGTTTTTACATGTAGTTTAACTTTTGTTCTTTTGAGCTTTTTGTCCAACTCTTTTCTTTTTAGTTTTCTCTTGGACTTTTTCTTACCTGAAACAAATTGTTGTTAAGAATTTAATATTGTTTAACTTAAGAAAACAAAAATAATATATTTTTACATACATTACAAACTTTGAAAATTGTACTAAAAATATATACGGTAAATTGAAATCATTAACAACATTACAACGGACTTGTTGATTCCATTCCAACTTCAGATAGAACGTACGTAACTACAGCCAGCTTAAAATAGAACAACCAGCTTAGTGCCATAGACATAAGTGGTACAGTATACCCCTTCTTAACATGTTCGCGGCGGCACGTCAAATGGCGGGCGTATCCCAGGTGCGGCGCAGCCCTCAGCATCGAACAAACCCGATTGCCGCGTGTGATTGGCTTTCCAATTTCGGTCTGACAAATAGCAAATAACGTGCGAGGATGTCCTGCCTTACGAGAGTCGACGTAGTTCGCTAAACACCAACAGATAGCAGCACTACTTGTAATTTAGCCGGTCCCATTGGAATTGTATTTCCAAATGGAGGGAAAAAGACGGGACAAAAGTAGAATTTTGAG